TGTATCGTTAAAAATTATTTTTTTATTTTGTACAAACAAAATAAATATATTGAAAAATATAAAAACAATAAAAAATTATACTTCAGATGTTAATTTAGTATCAAAAACGTAAAATATTTGAGTAGCCCAAGACATAGCCAAAGATTGAAGTGCCACAGCACTGGCGAAAATTTAAATTTGCTGACTGGAATTCTTTCGGATGATTGACTTTCGGAAAATCGACGCTCTACTATATATGTTTTTTTACTTTAATATTCCAAATTAGGACGTTTATAAGTCCAATGTTTTGAAGTGCAGAACCAAGGACTGTCAACGATTTCCATAACAAGCTACAATATGGTTCCAAAATAGAGATGTTTTATCCAGTCAACAAGCATTGAAATAAATAAATTTATGTAGCATTATATTTTATTTGTACACTGACGGTGTTGTTTATTCTGTACTTTCAAATTGCTATATAACTTAAAAATTGTACAACAGCATTTACTATTAATGTTAGAATAATTAAAAATTGGCAAGTTTCGAATATGTTAGAAATATTTTAGTTGTTCGAAACATTTTAGAATTATTTATTGTAATAATAATTGTTAATCTGTTTTAGTACTATTTTTTTACTTGAATTATGAGTATATTAGAATTGAGTGTACTGTACATTTTAATATTTACATTGTTTATTTTTAAATAAAAATGACAATTATTCGATGTTTCCAATTTGATATTTTTATTTTATTGTCCTTACAATTTTTTTAGTATACATAAACAGAAGAATAAGTTTTATCTATTTATAATTTATTTTGTATACTAGTACTTTCTATATATTAACAGGACTTATTATACTGGGATTATTATTATCCCGGTATAGTAAGTCCTGTTAATATATAGAAAGTACTAGCATACAAAATAAATTATAAATAGATAAAAAAAAAGGACAAAAAGGCATAATAAATAGAAGAATAAGTTCTTTTTGTTGAACTTTACTAAAAAGATATACTTAACAATTTACTTATTTTCTTAAATAAGTAAAAACGCAAATTAGCTCTAGAATGTATTGAATTGAACACTACTTCCAAATTTTTAAATTTATTTGTAAAAAATTGACAATTTAGGCCTACTATTATTAGTGACAAAATAGGAAGTAAACTTGTGATGGTTCTTCCTAGAAAGCAGCAAAGAAAATTCCAAAAATACGAGACAAAAAGTTAAGATTTAAGTGACTCGTGTTGATCAGCCCACCTTCAATACAAAGTGATCAATCAAAAAAGGTAATGGGTTAGTTGAAGGCGTAGAAATCTCCAGGAGGGACGAAGATCACCTACGTTGTGTTGTTCACTTATTAACTAGTCACGTTCTTAACTTAATAAAATTATTTGATAATAGCCAAGTCCTAGTTGTATTTATAGACTAGCAGACCTCTCCATGCGTTGTTGTGGCTCAAAATGTATCTACTATAAATTTATAACACTTCCCCCGTGGGGAGGAATTCGAAAAATTTTTTAATGTACATTCTCCTGACGTACCCTATTAAAATGCAATCAAAAACGCGATGATCCGCATCTAAAATAGTATAATAGAAGGCAAGTTCTTCACGGTAAGCCTTAATCCTGTCTCTCTCCCCCGCGGGGGAATATCGAAAAATTTCTTGTTAGTGTACATCATGTTGACGTACCCTATTAAAACGCAAAAACCCGCATTTAAAATAGTATAAATAGAAGCAGAGTTCTTTACCGTAAGCCTTAATCCTAACCATCTCCCTTCAGTGGGGTTGAATTTTGACATGTATATTATAGAAAAACACGTGCGTATTCGAATGCGGCGTTGTGTCAAACTTTCAAAGGAATCGGTAGGAACAAACGAACATTACATTTTTATTTATATAGATAGAAGATGATCTGCTTTAGTTCATTTTCACGGAAAAGTAAACTTAGGGCGTCGTACTCGTAGCGCCATCTGTTGGACATAAAAGCCTTAACTTAGATTATATATTTTAATTTATATGAATGTTTAACGGAATAATATACAGCCTATGTCCACCCTGAGGTTCCATTCTAAATATTGGTGAAAGAATTTTTGAAATCGGATGAGTAGTTTCGGAGATTACCTGCTGCAAACAAACTTACATACATNTTATGGATGACAACGTTGGCGAGCGTACTTTTGTAAGAATTTTGGCATCCTCCCATTTAACAATCGAACCATCCGCTTGCGCCATTTTGGATAATGCTGTTGTACACTTGTTTTTTGCGACATCGTATCGGTGCTCCTTAATTCTCACCCTAAGGTTTCTATTAGTGACCCCAACATAGTCCTTATCGATTCCCAACTGGTCATTTTTGTAGGGAATTGCATAAACTCCTGCCTGTTCGTTATCATCAATTCTTTCTTTGTCATTTCTAATCAACCTATACACTGTGGGGGCCCTTTTATATATTATACTGGCGTTTTTGTGCCTCGCTATTTGCTTCATAATCGGGAAGAGACATTTATTATAGGTAAACCTTGCGAAGTTACCCCCAGCTTCCGGTTTCTTCTTAGAGCTGCTCTTAGGTTTTACGTACGCTTCTATTAAACGTTCTATAGATCTTACTCCAAACCCTAACTCCTTTGCAACTTTTTTGATCCTACACAATTCATTCATGGTGTCTATTACATTTGAGCAATAGAGAAACGCTCTTCTGATTAGCGCTCTAAATGCGGACAGCTTATAAACCGTTGGGTCATTAGAATTTGCCGGAATATACATAGGATCATGCGTGGGCTTAATGTAGATCTTCGTACATAAAGCTCCATTCTTAAATTCAATGCTGACGTCCAGGAAGTGCAGCTCCTTGTTACTAATTTGCTCCAGGTTAAGTTTTAAGCCATGTTGGTTAGAGTTCACTTGGCATAAGAATCGTTTTATCATTGCGTCATTCTTCCAAATAATTAGAACATCATCTACATATCTTTTGTACATGATTATGTACTCATTATAGTTGATAAGCGTCATGCTTTCTAATTTTCTCAGCACCAACTCACAGAGTAGGCCAGACATCGGGCTGCCCATCGGGACTCCCCTTAACTGCTTATAAACTTTACCTTGGAAAATGAAAAACGACTGAAAGCATATCAGATCAACCATTATCTCTAAATCTTTCTTGTGTTCGTATGCTTTTGGTTGTAACTCACATAACAGGTTCACTAATTCCTGAAAACACGAGGTAAGATTTATTGATGGAAACATACTTTCGAAATCCATAACTGTCCCAATCTCATTGTCCATTAACGACAGATCCTGCAGGTCTTTAACCAAACTAAACGGGTCCTTTGTAACAAATTGGTAGTTTTCACGTAAACAATAGAGTAAAATTTACTCTATTGTTTACGTGAAAACAATAGAGTAAAATTTACTCTATTGTTTACGTTTAAGACCCTGGGGACTGTTACAGAACTACAACATTTACTTAGACCAACTGCAGTTTTAGGACTTTTATGACAGTCTAAAATCTTTGTTCATTCTCTTTAGAATGTGTTAAACTAATAAATTTTCTCATTTAAATAATACGATAAGCTTATATGCTTATATAAGCTTACCACACAGTGGTATATAACATACCACTGTGTGCTGAAATTTTAAAAATATAACAATCGTAAAGGTTAAAATTTTTACATGGAATCGGACTAAAATTAATTTTAAAAAATCGATTAACCAAAAAGTCATTTATTACGTAAACTAATCAAGGAAATCCATCAGAAATCAAATAAAACAAACGAAATGTTCGGAAAAAAGTAGGTTCGAATGGTGATTAGAATATTTAGGTCACAAATGTTTGGAGACCACACCCGCGGTCACATAACACGATCTTTAGTTTTATCATTTGTGGTTCTCGTTATAGAAAGTTTGATAGTTAATTAAAGTTCATCTATCGAATAATTTTATTTAAATTAAAATTCCGGAGATTTTAAGAAAACTTTGTGTCAAACCCCCCATTCGAATTAAACAGTTTGACGAATTCGAGTTAATCTTTGATTTAACATGCTAGACGATCGGAGAAAGAAAATTACTTCAAATTAACCGGAATAACTCCACTATAGTTCCACTATATTTTAAGTATGTGGGATTTTTGTTGACGAAAAAAAATTAGTTCCAAAAAGTCACCGATAGGCGGTGTTGACGTACAAAAGACATGCAAACGAAAATCCCACCATGACAACTTCAATTATTCAACATATCTACCTCCTTAATTAATCTGAGAAAAGCGACCAAGTTACACACCCGTTTTATCTGGATTCCAGCCCACAAAGGCATACCAATTAACGAGTAAGCAGACAAGCTGGCTAAAAGCCAACACCATAACCCATTTCATCACTCTTGAAGATTTTATCTCTTTCATAAATAAAGACAACAAACGGAGCATGAACAAAGACTAGAATGACAGAACTACTCGAAACACAAACTGCAATATTTAGAATACCATGGTTACTGTATCACCATACCGGCCACTACCGACCACTACACCAACATCCTGATAAACCGTGTCAGTACTCACTTTTTACCAACCAGTTCCTTCATATACGCAAACTTTGTAACTCGGACCGCTGCAAATACTGCCCTAACAAACTGGACACTACAAAACATCGACTTTACGAATGCAAAAAATTCAATACAATAAGAGGAAAAATATTATCTAACAACAATCTCTCAAGAAACAAACTTTTTAAAATCAGTGACTTCCTAAACCTTTCTCCAGTTGATATATACCTCCAGAGCCTAACTACCTTCTTCAACGTGTACAAGAAAATATATAATTATTAATCTCGTCAAATAGCACCACCAATTTACTTCACTACGAGGCGCATGTTGAGTCATTTTCGTATCGACAAGACAAGACACGAAAATGACTCAACATATTTCTTAGTAGGGTTACCATAATAATTGAAGGCAAGGCTAGATATGGACAGATTAGCATTAAAAATACTCAGACAGCGAGGAAAAATAAATGAATTTATTCACATTTTTCAATCTAGTAAATGTAGGCATATAATATAAAGTTTCGATTTACACTTTCCTTTGGGGCACAGAATGCAATTTTAAATATAAGAAAACCATTTTACTACTTAGACAACAAGTGCTATCGAATTAAAAAAAAAACCCGTCATAATGAATGTCCACATGCTCTCTAAGAGGCTGTCCATAAATGTCCACAATGTTCTCTAAGAGGCTGTCGCATTTTTCTTGAAACTTTTATTCCCCCTCTTGTCCCAGTTTGTCCAAGCTTCCGTAACCCTTCCCCTTTTCCGACTTCCAACTAAACTCAACCTTCATCACTTTATAAATGATAGATATATACTAGTGATGTGCCGGATATCCGTATCCGTATCTGTTACTTTTTAGCGGATCTTTAACGGATCTTTTATCTTAATGAATTTCATTACTTATATGAAATTTTAAAGATAGGTAGCAATAGCACATTCGTCATTTACTATCGTAAAATATTTCCATATTACACTACTAAACTTTTTTGTCGACATTGTTTTTATTTTAATTTAACTCAACACTCTCCAAAAACACAAACGTAATCTACGCTATCCCGTGTCACACTAGCCACAAACCAGTGTTTCCCAACGTGGGGCCCACGCCCCACAGGGGGCAATTGGATTGCTAAGGAGGGCAATTCGAAAATGGACTTGTCCAGAGTTTAAGTTAACCGTATAGCCGCTGTATATGTTAGGGAGACATAAGAATTTTAGAAAGGCTTAGGTGGGGCATAGCACAAAAAAGGTTGGGAAACACTGCACTAAACTATTGTGGCGGTACGCTATATTTTTGTAAATATTAATTTTAGTTTAGTTTCGTTTCTTCTTTCTACCCTTTGTTCTATTGTTCTATTTTCTTCTAGAACTTTCTTATCTATTCCCTGTCCCTTGGGTGGGATGAGCAGTTCCTAGAAATTTGAGGAGCAAAGGTGTAAACAGGAGCCGGAGAAAAAAGAGAAGTGACGTAGCAGGTCATTCGTAAACCGGACGGCAGAGTGTACGGACGAGGTGAGAATACTGGGAGTCGTATTTTCAATGACCGGATAGTTCAGAAATAAGTTCAGAAAAAAGATCCTGTTTTAAGGTCGTATTGACGACTGTGGAAGGAAAAATCCTAATTATTGAAGAAGAGAACTGGCCAGTTATAGGAGAAGGACGTGTGTTATCCCACCCAACAGTACGCATAAAGAAACAAGCCGAAAAAAGGGACAAAACCCCAGATATCCCTATTTCTATCTTATCTACCATTTTTTCTGTCTTCTTAATTCTATCCCTTTTTCTGTTATTAGTGTTAAGTAAGTGTTTAAGGTTAGTTTTAAGGTTCTGGGTTATATTGTCACGATCGGGATCTGTATTGTACACGTGCTTTGGATACAGCGAACTATTATTATCGCTGTAATTTCGCATGCTACTGTTTATACCGTAAAGTTGGAATCCCTCAAAATAGAATCTGTATAAAGACGCGAAATAGCTTAATTGGAAAATTATATCAACTTTTGTTACTTTATCCTGACTGCCTCTGTGGTGAATTCTTAATTTAGCACACTTTCACACTATAAACAAAAACACGCGCAGTGCAACTCAAAACACGTCGCGTTATTAACGCAAAGCGTCAACTATCGGTCCAAGGTCATACGCACCGGCGCCGACTGAGTACGAAAGTTGAGATCCGTATCCGCGGATCTAAACTCTAATGATCCGTATCCGTATCCGCGGATATACATTTTTAACAATTCGGCACATCACTAGTTACAACACTTGATTCTGCTGAACGCATCCAGTGCCATCTGTCGGTGGTTTTTAGAAGTATTTTGTCCCTGTCATCAAAATAAACTTCATGTAGTAGTATTTGATTAATTAATAAATAATAAAACGGAAGTCACCAACGCCATGGATGACATGCTTTCAATTAACACGGGGGCTAATAACGGACTTCTTTACGTCCGAAATTTCTATAAGACGAGGGTCCAGTATATTCTTATTTTTTGAAAAATTACGAAGTGCAGCAATTTTTTGCAAAAGGTAACAAGTTTTTGGAGTTTGACTTTTTCATTATTTCTTTTCTTTTTGTAAATGCGATCATATTTTTGCTTAAATTTTATTATAAAATAAAAAAAAATGTTAATGTCGAAATATATCTATAAAGTGTAAAAACGTCTGTTTACTTATTTAATGACAATTCAGAAAAAGTTTTTAAAAGCAAATTTNACTGCTCGTTTGAATTATTGAAAATATTTTCGAAAGTTAATTACCTTTAAAAGTTCATGGCTTAATAAAAAAAGTACAAACTGATAAGTACTGATTAACTTATTTTTATCTTATAGTTTTGTATAAGTGTTGTGTCACTTCTAATTAATACCGTTTTTTATAATTAAGTAGACTATGTTTGAATAAATATTGTTCATCTAATTAATTGCCTTTTAATTTAATTTTAATCATTAATATACTTAAATCAGGCCTGGCCAATTCGCGGTCCGTCACGTTAAATTGTGTGGCCCGCTAAGCGATATTATATAGCTATTAAAACATTCGTTTTCCGTTTTGTGTAGGCCTATACCAAAACAATTAAATAAATGAAAATTTGCATATGTCATTGTTATAATGCTCAAGTGCGAGTACGAACTCTTGGTATAAAAATGAAATCTTATTCATTTTGTATTTGTTTTACTTTTTTAAAAGCACGTTTGCCTAAATTGTGGCTCGTTGTAATGTTACGCGTGATCAAAGTGGCCCGCGAAACAATTTGGGTTGGCCAGGCCTGTCTTAAATAATAATTCTAAATCAGTTCGGCCTAGGACAAACTAGTTAAGCCTAAAGTATTTAGGCCAAACTAGATTGTCCTAGGCTAAAGTAGTATATCCTGACACGCGTAGGATAAACTAGTTTGGCCTGAAATCGGGTTTAGCTGGTAATATTTACATAAAAGCACTAAAAAAGAAATTTATTCTAAACGGATATCCTAATAGTTTAATCGATCGCTGGGAAAACAAGATAAATAGTAAAATGAATAATAAAAAATCAAAAAAGCTGAATACAGATACAAAATATATCAGTTTTCCATATATAAAAGGACTATATGAGAATATCAACAAAGATTTACAAAAAATAAACGCAAAACTAGCCCCGAAATACGAAAAATTAGAAAATAGATTAAGACTGGTAAAACCTAATAAAGGAGATAATAAAGATCAAGAAACAAAAAACGTAGTGTATAAGATACCGTGTACAGTACCTGTAATACAACTACAGTCGACCCTCCTATAATTACGGTCCCTATAATTACGATTCCTATAAAACTACGTAAAAATATACGTATTTTGGAAATGTTGAGTCGGATTAGTGTAGAATCGATTAATTTTATGGAAGAAAACCTTTCAATCAGCCGTAGTCCGTAAACTTGACACGTGTCGGGCTGTGATTGGAACGACTCGTAAGAAATCGGATTCCTAAAAAATTGGAACGTATCTATATCTTATAGGGGGGTCGACTGTAACTACTATATAGGGCAGTGTTTCTTAACAGGGGGCCGCGGCCCCTGGGGGTCCATAAGAAGTTTGCCGGGGGCCTCGAAATTATGCAAAATTTCAGAATATAATAAAAAAAAATTGATGTATAACCGAATATCGTATAGAAAAGTGAAATAAGAAAGATAAAGTTTTCGTATTTAATTTTATCCTACATACAACTTTGTTAGTACAGAAGAAATAAATGCAAATATGCTACTTACACCGCAGTATTTACTTCTTTTATTCCAAAGTAATTCTAAGAAACTATTAATGCTTGGAATTTAAAAAATAAAACAACAAAAATCAATTTATTTTAGATAATTTAACAGATATAAATTATTATTGAAAAAAATGGGGTCACAAAAAAATTATGAAATATTTGGTGGGCGGCGAGTATAAAAAGGTTAAGAACCACTAATATAAGAGAAACTAAACGCAAACTGAGTATGAGTAAAAGAACATATTGCAGATCTCAAATATAATCGACTAAACTCTGTTTTTTCATTACCATTGTTTAATAAATAACTGTAGTATAGATAAAAATAATGTTAAAATCCTACACAAAGAGAAAAATATCTATAATAGAAAATTTAAAGAAAGCGTCTCAATTTTAATAGCCGAAAATTGTATCAATAGAAATTTAANTGTGCGTTCTCGTGACGTACCCTAACTGTGTACCAAATTTCAACTTTCAACTCCTAACCGTTTGGGCTCTGCGCTTATTATTATTATTATCATCAACCCGTCTCGATTATATATATAGATAACTCAATATTAAGGATTATTCATTACTTAATAATGTAAAAATTATTAGAAAACGCAAACAGGCGACTACATGATGTAAGATTACACCCACTGCTATTTATCGACACCCAGATGCACTGTTAAGCTCCGCCCATAGGGTGGGTTTTAGAATTATGCGAGACAGAAAGAAATGATTAACCAATCAGCGACCGGCTTGTGACATAGCCACTCAAAGACGAGAGATGATAAGACGCTTCTTTAGGTTCGGTGACTAATCACTTAAATACACGCCAGGCGCTAAAGCCAACCCTCACTATGTCACTTACGGCATAGAGGGTTCAGCCTCTATTCACCTAATGATAATTTCAGTTGTGACGTTTTTCCTAAACTGGCCAATCAGCATGTTTCTGCTAAGGGTGGCGTTACTATGCACTGTCGTCATAACATTTGACGTTTTTTTACACGTGACTTCTAACAAATCACGTGCCTGTATGATTATTATTACTGTAATTCTTAATAGTTTGATTTAATTACTTTTGATAAATAGCATCACTTTAAAAAATGAATTGAGGAATTTCGTAAACATATTTTATCACAATGATAGCAAACTTTATAAATTTATATATTTTTTAAAATCTTCGAAATTTGGTATGGAATGTATAATAAATCAATTATTTTGTGTATTTAAAAAATAATTAGTTTTCTACATGTATTAATTTCTTACAATGTTCTTACAAAATTAATTTTTATTTAAAATATGAAATAAAATATGATGATGAATCACGATCATTTACAATGAGGATATGATGTGTAATAATTAGTAATAAAAACTGATCAATTATAAAAACTATTTATAGACTGTCGTTAATGTTTCTTTATTAATAAAATAAACCTGATAAAGTTACATTGTACTTTTAATAACAGCAATAATAATAACAAGTTAGCAATAATATTAATTATTCTATACCAAATAAGTATAGTTCAGCTAATGTTGCTCTTACACTTGACACTTGCAATTATATCTTTTGTCGTTTGCGATTCACTGTCTTCTATCTTTAAAGTTAATAAGAAAATAAGAAATAAGAACGAATTTTCAGGTCTAAACCAAAACCACGAACGTTAAATCATGAGATTCGGTACTTGTACGTGATCTTTACGTAATATCCAGCAGTTAGTCGTCAATAGAGTCACTAATTTCCTCTTGCACTAAGAGCTGAGGTTGTCAGAAGCCCATTATTCAAAGGATAATTTTTTAATTAATTTATGTTTTATCAAAAGATTAGCATATAGCCGAAAACAATATTCAGTTTAAATCGAATTATTCTAATTTTTAATTCGTTTAATCAATACGAAAATCTTTCTTTTAAAAATGAAAATACTGTATTTTGTTTCGTAAAATATTTGTTCGTTTAGTCAACTAAACGAACAAATAAAAGGATGAAAGGATGCCTAGTGTTCGATTAATTGCACTTTATAGTGCTTACGAAGCAAAAACGTACAACGACACAGTTTCAAATTGGCAAAAAATATTGTATTTAGTATTTATCAAATATTTTACAGTAAAATAATCTAAAAAATAATATTGTTAAAATTTAGATATAAATATAATTAAAACTCTGTAAATATTTCTTGCCTTTATCAAATTTAAAAATAATGATAATAAAAAATAATAAATTCACCATGTCCACTCGGCCATCTGGCCGTCGACAATTACTAACCGGCAAGTCTTCATTCGAAACAGCCTAAAAATATCAGTAAAGCGCACGTATTACTAATACAGTATAAAAGCTATCGTCGCTGTATGTGTGTGAATTCCTTATAACTCCTGCATTTTTTTGTCCAATTCAGATGAAATTTCTGTTATATTCGTTTTATTTGTACAAAAATTTTACTTTATTAAATATTTGTTTTATGTTCTGACAAAAAATATAAGCTACTTATTTTATGGAAGTATTAGCTACATAGTAAATATTTTATAAATTTCGAATCGGTGATCACATTTACATTGCAGTGACGTTCATGCTGACTACTTGATTTCCCTTAACTCGCATTTTTAAATATTTTGGCAAATGAAGTATTTTAAACTTTCTTAATTAAAGTTTAAACTTTAAAAAATGATAGCTTTTTCGTGTCACTTCTATAACAAAGTTTTTAATAAATCGTTCCATAGTAACCACGTGATGTTCTAATATCTAATAGGAAGTAACGATCTAACGAACCCGTTAGTTTCAATCTCTACTTTCTCATAAAAAATTTCCCCGTCATGCTTGGCATAGAAATTTTTAGTTTTATAAGAAAATACAATCCTTTAACATAAAATTCGAATTTACCAAACTTTCCAAGTTGTGTCATGGCTCGATTTTCCATTTTTTTATTTTTTTTAAGATTTAGCAAAAAAGAAATTTTTACTTATGCTAATCTTTTTAATGGATGGCGTATCTTGTATACTTAGTAATTGCTCGAATCAGGATGGTTTTTAGGCCTGGACAGGTGGAACATTCGCCTCAGGCTCTCTTCTTAAATACTGTGTATAGTAGTTATTTATTTTACATAATTACATTTGTGAGGCGGCAAATGCTGACTTGGTGGTGAGACGAATAGTGGTTATTGTTAAAAAGAAATAAGGAGTCTAGGAAAAAGTGTCATAGGAAAACAACTCACAGTTTCATAAAAATATTGAGCAAATTTATTTAAATAAAAAGTAATTAATCATTCGGTTATCGCAATTACTCGAAATATTACATTAGCTAATTCACTAAAATTATCAAAACTAAAATATTGCCATTTTCCTCTCTATAACAATTCAATAATGTAGCATTCGATATCTGGAAGTTCATAAGTATTTTAACGGGATTTGATATTTTAAACAAGGTAAATGTCAGTTTTGAGTTATATAATTAAACTAGTAACCATAGCGCTAGAAACAAAGGAAATTTGACACCAGAGTAAATTGAAATCGAAACTAATGACGTCACTCGAATTAAATGAAAATGTAAATCACGTGATCATTGAAGTACAGTGTTGGGTTCTTAGCCACTGTTAAGTTCTTAAGGGAGAATGCCTCTAGAACGTAGTATTTTTATGTAGCAAAGAAACGGTTATATCGGTCGGACAGAACACCGGTTACGTCCTACTCATCTGGCTGACCCGAACAAAAAGACAACAACCCCGAATGTTGCACTCACACGTAAACATCACTTTATGGGTTCCGGGTTCCAGATTGAACCCCGATCGTTAGGTGTTCACATGTGGTAAACACCTGATCCAACACGTGGTAAACACCTGACCCAACACCTCCCCTTTTAAGAAAGAGAAAAAAACAACTGTCCGAATTGGCGGTTTATGCCGCGTAATAGTTTTTTCGATAAGGGATTATCTGAAGCCGTCCCATCGGAACTCGAGTACGGGCTGACCGACGTGGAGGCTGTGGTGTTGATCTCTCGGGCGGCGTTTCTTCGACGGTGCATGGTCTCTCGAACGGCGGGGACTCATCGTCCTGCTGGGCTGGTCTTTCAACCGGATGTGTTGAGTCTGGAGTCGGAGCGGGACGTAGAGGGATGGAGAAGGCTTCTGCTATGACGGCGAGGGGGTCATCCTCGGGCTGAGGTCGAGAAGATTGTCTCCGTAATAGCTGATTGGAGTGAAATCGCCGAGTTGATCCGTCGGCCATTTCCACCTCGTATACGGTGTTTCCGGTTTTGCATTTAATTGTTCCCGGCTGCCAATTTTGAGAGCGTCGGTGTCGTGCGTAGACGAGCTCTTTAGTAGTGAATTTTCGCTCTCGGGCTCCCTGTTTCCGGTTAAACTGCCTCTCCATTTTGATATCGCGCTCTGTTGGATATTTTGGCGGCAATAATAGATCGAGTGATGTTCGGATCTTCCGTCCGAAGAAGAGTTCGGCTGGGGATTTGCTGTCCGGTAGAGCCGAGTTTGGAGTTACCCTATAAGTCTCCAGAAATATGTCCAAAGCCCGTTGTATATTTCCCTCCCCTTTTAATTTAAGGAGAGCTCGCTTCAGCGTGTCTACGAATCGTTCCGCCTGTCCGTTGGATTGAGGATGATAGGGCGGCGAAAAGATGTGTTTAATTCCATGTTGGTCACAGAATCTTTTAAATTCGTACGAGGTGAACTGCGTACCGTTATCACTGACGAGAACTTCTGGCAGTCCGTGACGAATGAGGAGTTTCTGTAGCACGCTGATCGTTGCGAGGGACGTAGTCTTTTCCATGCTTATAATTTCCGGATACTTCGAATAGGCATCCACAACGACTAGAAAATTTTGGCTCTGGTAAGGCCCTGCGTAGTCGATGTGGATACGCTGCCACGGGGTAGCAGGTTTCGGCCAGGAGAATAGTTCGGAAGTTATCGGTTG